CGTAAATAGGGATTTTCCACGCTAAAAGCGAAATTTTCAAATAATTGCAATTAAGCAAAATTTTTTCCAAAATATTTTTTATCCAAAAATATCGTTAAAATAGTTTGGAGGACTCTTTAATGTTATAAAATTGCATAGACCGTTACAAGTTTTCACAATAACGATGGACAGCACTAATTAAGTTTGATAAGAGGCTCTTTGATTAATTTGTATAACGGTTTCGTTTCCAAGTTTTTATCAATGATAACAGTATTTTTCGTAAGTTTGAAAACGTTTGTGCGAACTTGATTCTTTCATTTGTTTTATAGTAAGAAAGAGCACACATCATGTTAGTCGTTGATCACAATCATAGTCCTTGTTGATCATATTCTGGTCATCGTAGATTAATTCGTGGTTGTCGTGGATTACATTATGGTTGTCGTGGATTTTATGGAATTAATATGGATTTATCATTTGGGGATTACGTTAATCTACGAATGAAGACCAAAGACGACGTTTAAGGTGACAGATTTATAGTGTTTTAGTTAACATCCTGGTGATCTACACTAACAGGAAGATGATTGATCTTTGGCTGAGTGTATAACAAAGTTAGTTGTTCTTTTGATTCTTGTTAGTTTTGTGCATGTGATGCAGTGCTTTTTTGCGGTTGAAACATTGCCTGAAAACGATGATACATCTTATATTGTCGAAAACTTTTATCAAATCAAACTGTCGTATAATGTAAGGTTATCATTGTACAAGGTAAAATATATATGTCTGATGTCGATTTTTATAGGTTTTTCGTTCTTTTGATTACCAGGATACACGATCCCAAGTTCAAGGAAATAAGCATGTGTTTCTTTGAGTTTTGGTCGTGTACGTGTATTATCTCGTATATTATACTTCTTAAAACTGAATCATATGCATATTTAGTTATTAAACTAGAAAATTACGGCCCAAAAAATGGCGAAATCCGAATCACAGATTGCACGTTAAAATAGTAAAGAAAATTTCGGACAGAAACATAGCGCAATCCGGCATGCAAGCTGCATAGTGCAAAATTAAATTAATCGTAAGTTATAAACGCTTGAAATATTCTTGCTTGATGATGCTTTATAAATAATTTTACGTTTAGTTCGAATTGTTTGAATTTTGAACCATGCAAAATTTGAAATGTTCCCAGACGCTAAAATGAAAATGAATAAAAACAAGTCAAAGTGCTTAAAATATTTTTAGAAAAATGATTGATTTGCATCATCAAGACGAATATGCAAAGTTGGTCTAATAAAAAACGAAACAGAATAATAGGTGCATGAAACCCGGCATTGTTTTTGCTAAATAGCTGTCAAAATCAATGTTATGACAGTGGCATGTCCAAGTTAATTAACTCACTGTTATTTAACTTGAAGAAAATAATTCAGAGAAGGAATATAGCTTAATTATTCATGATGTATTGGGTTAGCTCGTCTCGAAATCAAATCGAACATCTTCATCTATTTTATGCATGGAAGATGATTTGATAGATAGCGAGACACACTTATCCGATACATTTAATGTAGTTCCAGGTAGGAATAATCGTAAACGGTGCCATGATGGTACCTAGGTGATCGAGTGTTGGACACAAGAAGGATTGGTTGGCACGCCGTTTGGTAAAGTATAAGGGCCCAGGGAGGCGGTTCCCTATCCGTTAAGTTTTCTTTCGGCTCGGGTACTAACGTTGCTTTACAGGTGTCTCATCGTTCAAAGGTATGGTTTACTTATTCTTGTGCAGAATAGTTCGTAGGTAGATATTCAAATAGGTTATTTCATGCCACTGATCAACAGGGTTAGCTAGGAATGCGCTAAGGAAAAATAGCGCAGCTAAAAGCGGTCTAAAAATGGCGTACGTCCTACAAATGACGTAAAAAAGGAGCCGGTTTCGGTTTTTTCCAAGTATGAAGGGGGCATTTTGCCAATAGGACACCTCTGTCAACAACATTGTAAAGATGGAGGCAGTATAATAAAATTTTGTAAACATGAGAAAAAAAATAGCGCAATTAAAAGCGGTCAAAAATGGCGTACGTCCTACAAATGACGTAAAAAGGAGGCGGTTTCGTTTTTCCAAAGATGAAGGTGCATATTGCCAATAGGACACCTCTGTCAACAGCCTTGTAAAGATGGAGGCAGTATAATAAATTTTAAACATGAGGAAAAATAAGCGCAGCTAAAAGCGGTCAAAATGGCGTGTGTCCTACAAATGACGTAAAAAAGGAGGCGGTTTCGTTTTTTCCAAAGATGAAGGGTGCATATTGCCAATAGGACACCTCTGTCAACAACCTTGTAAAGATGGAGGCAGTATAATAAATTTTGTAAACATGAGGAAAAAATAGCGCAGCTAAAAGCGGTCAAAAAATGGCGTGTGTCCTACAAATGACGTAAAAAAGGAGCCGGTTTCGGTTTTTTCCAAGTATGAAGGGTGCATATTGCCAATAGGACACCTCTGTCAACAACCTTGTAAAGATGGAGGCAGTATAATAAATTTTGTAAACATGAGGAAAAATAGCGCCCGGTTTCGTTTTTTCCAAAGATGAAGGGTGCATATCATTGAGTTCAATAATAACTGGAGCGGCTATCTCAAGCGCGGCCTTAGATATCTGCTGACGCCAAAAAAATGGCGGATTTCGTCCGTTGCCGCTGAGATTTACCGAAATTGACCGCTTTTCCGAAAATTTCACAATTTCCCTCCCTCCTGAGGAAAGAGAGAAGAAAATGTATGTGTATTTGGGATTCGTCAAGCAATTTTTGATGAAAATCAAGGTAAAAACCTCAAATTCATAACAGCGAGTCAACTGTGGTTGTCAGTTATGTGCTACTACGAGGATGCATTTATAACTATCGACGAAAGAGCTATATGTCGGCTACACATGTATGAATGCAGATGTGCGTCGTTTTTACCAACGTCGAACTTGTTTGATCGATTAAACTCTTTAGTCTATACAAAAAGTATATCATAGTTCATCTCCACGGTTCACGAGAGAGAAGTTAGCTTATTTGTTATCATTGCTATTTTGCTTCTTTTCATGATGCAATGGGCAATGGCTTTTCGCCACAATTGTTGGATTTTTACTTGTTTCTTTAAAAAGTAAATATTAAATCTCTGGATATTTACGGATTTTCTGTAATTGAGTTTCATATTAAATTTCAAAAGACTCAAGTCTGCATAGGTTTGGTAAATCAAAACAAACAATATTGTATAGAAAGTACTTTAAGTAACCTTTTTGTGATGTTCTGAAGTGCAACTGCATCAAATACTTGTAAAGTTGTAGCACATTTTGATTTTGTTGTATTGATACATGAATTGGGCAAAATGCAAATAATCATCAAAACACTTATGCTTCCAATGGTGTTTATAATTCATTTGTAGTTTTAATACTTCTACCCTTCTTTTTCACTTTGTTTTGTTTTTCCTATATTTGCAAATAAGTACACAATTTGAATGATTAACACAGTTTTCACCTAAATAATAAATTTCATAAGCAGTTGGTAGTGCATTTTGTTCTCTGAGTATCCACATCTGGTGTTTTGTTCATACAAGAATGATGAAGTGCAAGTAGATATGTCATAGCAAGGCAATATAACCAAATGAATCAAATACCTATAGTACTTTTATTCTAGAAGCTTAAAAGCTTTTAGAAATTATAAAGTTATTGGATTATATTAACCATATATCATCAATCTCATGAAAAGAAATAAGAAGCAAAAATTTGTAGGAAAGCTTTGAAAAGTGAAAACTTTTCTTTAAAAAGTAGCAATAATGCATATGATAAATCTCCATTCTGTACTTTACTAGGTAAATAAGCTCAAACTGTTTCTTGAAACAAAACTGTAATAATGAAGAAATATACAGTACAGTAACTTTGAAAGTTTCATCACTGAATCTTTAATGCTTCAGTGTAGTGCATTAGATATTAGTAACATTTATACAACACTCAACTAAAATGTTTTGATAAAGATATGACTTGATTTAAACATAAGTTATATAAAACCCAATGGCTTATACAGTTTGATGCTTCACATCTGCATCAAGTCATCAATCTCAGTACAAATGTTTACATAGACTTTATGGCTTTCCCATTTTATATCTTTGTGAATTGACATTTCATTAAGCATCAAAACACACACAACCTTGCCATCTTTCTTTGGTTCATGAACTTTAACTTCAAAGCATTCAAGGCATCCTTAGTGAATCCATTGTCTCCATCCCTAGAATTTGACCATGATCAAATTAAATAACTCTGGATAGGGCAGACGATAAATCAATTATCTTTACAGCATTATAATTTTTTAAGACTCTGCCTGGTCAATAACATCTTCCAGTCATCTTTACTCCTTGGTCTTCCCTGCATGTTGTCAGCAAATAGAACATAACAAGCTCTGCTCCAAATCATGGGTACTCTTGGGGCTGATCATTTCGTTTTGATACTTACTCACAGAGCAAAATGTGTGCAGGGTCTTTTTGCTTTAGGAAACTATTTTGCAAATAGATGGGTAAATTTACGACTTCATGCAGACTTTAGAAAAGTATGCAGAATTTTATAAACAAAAACAGGAAAACATCAGTATATTTGGCGTTCAAGTCAGTCTTAAAAATACGATCTTTAATATGTATTTTATGGCTTTTAAAGTGCATGTATAATTGCTTTTCAGTTTTCAATCGTTGACGGACTAAAAAACTAAGCAACTATCTCACCTGTGAGAAGCGATATGTTCCTTTTTGTGGAAACTACGACATCCAACAATTGAACGATTGAAGTGTTGGCATTATAAAAGAAATGCCAAAAAAGATATCGTCACAGAATATGGAACTAACGATATCGTGTTGGTTTTTGAAAAATTCTTTATAATTTACTATATACACCAGGGGGAGGTCGAGAATATTATTTTTCTGCAAAGCGATCATTTCAGCGGAAATACGTCCGTTGGCCGCCATTTTTTTGGCGACCTCGCCCCAGTAAAGATAGCCGCTCCAGTTATTATAGAACTCAATGGTGCATATTGCCAATAGGACACCTCTGTCAACAACCTTGTAAAGATAAAGGCAGTGTAAGAAATTTCGTAAACATAATTAAGGCCATTAAAAATATAGACAATCTTTTTGTAAAGATAACTATTAAAAATAGATAAGGTGATCCCAAGTAATGTGCATCCACCGACTGGCTTTTGTAGCTTGTTGGATCTCTGAGGGTTTTCCTCCGGCGATACGCCGGTTTCCCTCATCTTTAGAGAATCTCTCTAAAGAATAACAAAAAAGGGTGGCCATGCCTGGGACCTGCAGTAAGGATTGTATGGTTATTGGGTTGGATTCCCGATCCATTTGAGGAAACACGAGTAGATCGAGACTTTTAGAATTTCTGTTTGTGTTCAATTTAACGATTTTTGGTTTGTTTGATAAAACATAGATTTATATATGGCCACAGTTTCTTTTCTTCTGCTTCTGCTTCCTTTGTGGCATATGCAAATGAATGAAATGAAATAACCATTACGTTCCACATTTCGTTCTCAGGCTCCAGAAATCCGCGCTGCGGTAACCATGTGGTAGAATGGTAGAAACGTGGTGAAAATGTGACACCGACAGTTAATAAATGAATTGTTCATTTTCAACTTAACTTTGTTTCGCATTTTATAATAATTCCGTCTGAATATGTTTGGCTAGGTGTTTGGGCTGTATTTGATGAAAACGGACTATCACATCATGCATTGCTGCATTATTGTATGGCTAAATGCATTCTTCAGGTAAAGTACGTATCTCAAATTATTGCACCATTTATTTCAATAATTTATTTTTAGATATTCATGTTTATTTTAATGAATTGTTGTGCCAAATGTTCTTCCAATGTGGAAAAATTCATTTTACATCTTAAATTTGTCACAGACACCCTTTTTCAACAGATTCTGGATTATCATTTTTTGTTAAAGCATTTCACCATGATATATAAAAACATTATGCTTTGACTGTATGAATGTTCTTGTTGTCTATAATTCCTCAGTTGAATATAAGATGAAGTTGACCATTTGAGCTTCAAATGTTTATGTGTTACTTCTCCAAATTTTTGGTGGGTAATGTTTGATACACTTTTTGTGGTTTTGGAATAGATCCAGTTTCATGATGTTATATTTCTTCATAGGAAGTGGTGTGTATAAAATATTTCATCCCTTGCTTTTTCAAAAAGCAATGGATGTATATCAATACTTGCCCAACTGTGGTAAGGTACATACTTGTGTTGTTAACATTTTATGAAGTTTCAACTTTGTTGATGAGTTTAATGAAATTTCTAAAATTGAGCAAATTGTGTGTTTGAACATTGTTTGTTTGCCATTTGTAAGTCTTCAAAAATTATAAAACCAAGAAACCAAAAATATTTTAGTATTATAGCTATGTGCTTCTAGTGAACATAACTTTTAAATAATGAAGAGCTTTCAAATTTGTTTTAAACAACACAAGTGAATTGCTATTCTCACTCTATCATCAGGTACAACATTGCTTTTACGTTATTAATTTTTTTGAAGATAGGTTATGATTATAACATCAGAGAAAGTGATAGCAGATAAACTTTTTATTTCAGATGTGAGTGAAGAACAAGCTTCTTGTTATTTGTATTTTAGTTCACTTCAAGCCATCTTCGGTGTGAAGTGAATAAATATATGAAGTTTACATGATATTTATTTATATTTATTCACTTTGCAATGAAGATGGCATAAAGTATGCCAAAACATGTTTGCTATAAAGAAATTTGTCATCTGTTTTAAATGTCTTATAACCATTGTGCTCTCACGAAATCATATCAAGTTATTATTTTTTTCATTTGTTTTCCTTTAAAGTCTTCTTCAACATCCTTCATTTTTCTTTTAGGGTTTTGGCCAAAGCCCTCTCTCATCCAGCTTAATATATTTACGAAAAAATTTCTGATGACACCCATCACTAATGGCAATATGAATAATTGTTCACCGACAGATTTTAGTCCAACAATCAGTAAGTGTTGATTGTTCTGTATTTTCCTCCAATGGTTTCCATTGAATTTCCTGAAGTTTCCAAGAATAGTCTTGAAGATTTAACTTATTGATACACCTGAAAATGTTATAGGATGTTTTGTGTTTTATATCCTTCATCACATAAAACGTCCATTGTCATTTGTGTTGCTTATACATGTATGTTTAACATTAGATGTACCTCTTTAATATCTTATATTTATCCATTGTCATGTGTGTTGTTCATATTAATGTTTAACATTTGATGTACCTCTTTATATCTCATATTTATCCATCGTCATTTGTGTTGCTCATATGGATGTTTAACATTTGATTTACCTCTTTATACCTCATATTTATCCATCGTCATGCATGTTGTTCATATGGATGTTTAACATTCAATTATTCCCATTATCCATCATATAAAAGTTTTGATTTTATGGATAGGTCAAGAATAACATTTGCTAGATTTTTTTCCTTTATCTTATTTTATGTCGGACATATGAGCATTGATTTCCTTTTCCATGCATGATGATTTCATATTTTGTTTCGTTTATCTAAACAGTTTCTCATCAAATGAACGTTTCTGCAATAATAAGATGACGAGTTTTGGATGAAAAAGTTCTTTTAAGAAAAGCCGGTAAACAGGTGTGTTTAAGGTTGTGGAAAGTTGATTTAATATGAATTTAATTATTGTTGTTAATTATCTTTTTTTAGAGTCCATTGTATGAATGAACAGTGATGAGCTTTGTAAAAAGGTAAAATTATTTCAATTGAAAGAGCGTATTTAGTTGTTTTGTCTGGCTTTGTTGTCTTGTCAGGTTTTGTCAAAATCTATGATGTAGCTATTTTAACTTTGATCCATGATTCACGAAGTCTTCGTGTGAATAACTTATCAATAATTAGTTTGTGGTTTTTCAATTATTTTTCAATTTTTTGTGGCGATTTTTAGTAACAATTCGACCATTTTACATTTTTTTATTGTCATAGCTGTTTAGCAAACTTAGAATAACTACATGACATTTAATTAACAGTAAAACTAATGACAATTAGGATGTTTAGTATTCTTTTCTTTGAACCAGCCATACATTACCTGAGAATTAGACTCAAGACTATATGATCAATATTTTCATGTTGCGATGTCTGTTATATTTTTTGTCATATTGTAGGATTTGGTTGACGCCATTTTGCCTTTGGTGACGGATCGCCCGACTACAGCGTAAGAGAAATGTTTGAGCAATTTGGAAGGAATAATTTTGAAGAATATTTCAATGGAAACGACAGGCGCTGAACAACAATCAAGTTGGAAATTCTTGGAGTTGATAGCAGGCGAGTCGGGCCAAGAGTTAAGGTACAATCTTTAATAATTGATCTTTTCAAGCTTTTGATTATGGCGTCTTTATTCATGCATGTTTTTATGTTTTTGTTACTTTTATACAAATGAACACTTTGCATGTTTTATGTGTAGTTATGCCCTCGAAGTTGCAACAAAAGATTATACTTGGTCGTTTAATCAATGATCATTACGCCACAACGAAATGAAGGTGCGTATAAACCGCATGAGTTGATATTGTTTGCCATTATCGCTTGCAAACGAAAAAGTTTTTCCTTCATCACACGTCAAAACCAAGAAGACGATAAAATGGGACAATTAATGATCAGTTTTAAAGAAACTTTGCACATCAGATATCATATAGTTAACTTTTCAGATCGTGTCCGATAATCCTTGTTATTTTTTTTTTGTTGTAATTCGCGTTTCTGCATTTTTTAGTTTATTATTCTATTCTCAAGTGTATAGCGGGGACTGATTATAAACAAAGTGTCAATAAGTTTGATGATATATTTTCCTGTGATTTTTTAGAAAACTTTTTGCAAAATGAAACTTTAGCTAAGGATTGTACAACTGCTCTCACGAAGGAATTGGATACTTCACAAGATCCAGCTGTTAGAAACAACATCAGGATTGTCCTTTTCGACCTTGTGTGTTAGGTAAAAAGTGTAAGGTTTTCGTGATGTTTATACGTATTTTGGTCAAATTGTGTTAACAAATGGTCAAACTGGCATTGTAAAGGAATTTATTTTATTTAGGCATACGAATGATGTCGACCGTTACATACCAAATATTGTTAAATGTTTGAACAACCTATGATACGTAACAAACTTTAATCATGATGACACATTGGCTCTGCAGGTAACCAGCCGTTACGTACGTAATTTCTGTATATTTTTCTTGCTATACCTTGGAGTTTATATAAATTTTATTATTTGAGATGAGCTTCTCCATATTAATCTACTGATAGCTACATACTGCAGACAAACATTTGAGCAAAACTAACTATAATTTTAACTGAATATGGTAAATTTAAATGCTCTTAAGGTGCATGCAGCAAGTACAATTATTTATACGATATAAGCTAACTAACTTTATATGAGATATACGTTTACTCTATAATTGTTTTTCTCTACATACTGCAAGTATGCTGCATGCGGAAATCTTGATAGTGGATACTTCTGTATTTTTTTTTATACTTTTCTTTGAAAAGGGTTGACTATGTCAAGTGTAAAGGTCCATTGTTTTTCCGTTTTATCACTGAAGCACGTAATGTTTTTACTGATTTCTCTTCAATTGACATTAATCATATCTTTCTTTAGTATACAACCGGTTTCAGCAAACGAAAAAAGAGAAAGAATTGTTTTCATTGAGAGGAGAGGAAAAGATAGGGTACGTTATGTTAGAAAAATGATGTGTGTTTTTGACAGACTTCTTCATGCTGATTTTTGTGCAGTTACTTAAATATTATTGTGTTTATGGACGTTATAGTAAACGAATGATTATCTACAAGTTCTTGCTCGATCACAGGACGGGGGAGCAGCGTTCTAATTTGATTGAAAATCGTGTCAAAAGGTGTGTAACTGCAGAATTTCATATAAATTATATTTCCATAAAGATTATATACTGTCATACCGAAGGGATGGTTGTAGTTGTCAAATATGCGGTGATATGTTATAAGTGTCATAAACCATTCTTCACTTGCAATTCAGACATGTTGGTGGTCTGATACAAAAGAATATTTCATCAGAGTTATCGTTGGCACCAGCCGACGTGGGCGAGCAAAATTGTTTCGCAAATCTCAAGAGAACGGTTGCAACGTCAAGCCAGAAATATGTCATCCTCATATTTAACTACGACAAGTGCCATTGTGTTAATAAAGCTAATATCGACAGTAGCTGCTAAAAGAAATCTGCATTGCTTAGCCGAAAGAAAACGTGCTGCTTTTGAAAGACTTACTTGTCTCTCTCTATATTTTTCAAAAGAAGACATAAGTAACTATAGATGTTTTGCTAATGTATCACCAAACTAACATTAATATATAAATGTATTTATTTGTACTACTCTTTCACTCTTTCTATCAACATTCCTTCTTCGTGTAATTTTTACGAATGTGATTTTTGGTTTGTTGCTTTATCTTTAGCTGGAGGTGTTCTGCTATGATTTTGATTCGAGACCTTCAATGGCCTATATTTTTTTTGCATTAAATACTTCAAGGTAGGAGTGGCACTTTAAAATGACCAGATGTCTCCAACGAACTCTCTGGTCTAGTGGATAGACACAACCTTTCGAGGTTGAGAGTGGAGGTTCGAACCCTGTCTGGGATAAGATGTTGTTAGGCTGTAGGATGATCCGAAACATGGGAAAATAGTGCTGGTTAATAGAACGAAAATGGGATTTCTATTACTAAGTTTTTCGAGAATGGAATGCGACACTTAGTATAAATTCAGAAAAATTCGCTCTCCGTTGAGAAGGAGAGCGAAGAAAAAAGATAGGATCCCATGCAAAAACCACTCTTAAAAACTAAGTCTTTTGCTCAAATTTTTTATGACTCCCTGTGATCAGGGAGTTATTTTTAAATTTTGAAAGTCAGGAAACCCAAGAGCAAACAGAACGCCCTAATCATCCCTTTCTTACCTCCAGGCACTCGTTCCTCAGTTCGACTTTCTGTCTTCCACATCCGCCGCGTACACCTGCCAAGTGTGTTGGCAGAGGGCGAACCAAGGATCTTGTGCACCGGAGGTCATTGATGTCGAACTAAGCGCCCAACATCGGCCAGTTGAGCTAAGCGCTCATCATCGAAAACTGTATGTTTTTGGCGTATTTACTAAATTTTTCAATGTGAAGCGAAAGAAAAGGAGGTGTTCAATCTTAGATGGTCTTGAACCCGAGAAGGTGAGATCACTACACCAGCATCTTTACCACTCGGCCAGACAGGTGAATTGACAAAACCATTAAAACATGTCAAGTGCTTCTGACAAAACAACATTGCCTTCTTTTCTCTCGAGACTCATATTTTATACTGTGTTTAACTTGTCCTTAACTTGTCCTTCGTCGCCTTCATTGCAACGGTGAAGAAAGGGACTTGCAACGCATTTTAGCTGTCCAACTCTAATATTGTTTGGAAAATAAATGTTATAACAAAAAGGAGAAAGACCAATAAAGTATGCACAATGTCAGACATTGCCATGTGGTAAATCAAAACAACAACGCGCATGTTCGTAGTCAATTTAATGGCGCTGTAAGTTTCTAACTTGTGTGTTCAAAGATAAATAACATATTTTTACCACCATGCATGGTAATATTGTAATGGTTTCTACAAAGGCATGTCTTGAGTATCATCATTTAAAATATTGTCAATGTAATCAATATAGCCAGTGCGGTTTTTGTCTACATTTGTGTCTACCTTCTTGTCTACCTTATTTTTTTGAACTTCTACTTCTTTTGAACTACAACTTCACTTTCTATTCATGCATTTTCACAAATTTTCACATTTTTTTCTCACACAAAGACTATAATTCACGCATTTTCAGAAATTTCCACATTTTTTTCTCACACAAAGACTATAATTCACTGCATTTTCACTAAAAGACTATAATTCACGTACTTTCACCAAAAGACTATAATTCACGAATTTTCATGCAAAAGACTATAATTCACGCATTTTCACTAAAAGACTATAATTCACGTATTTTCACCAAAGATTATAATTCACGAATTTTCATGCAAAAGACTATAATTCACGCATTTTCACTAAAAGACTATAATTCACGTACTTTCACCAAAAGATTATAATTCACGAATTTTCATGCAAAAGGTTATAATTCACGCATTTTCACTAAAAGACTATAATTCACTGTATTTTCACTAAAAGACTATAATTCACGCATTTTCACATTTTTTTCTCACATAAAGACTATAATTCACGAATTTTCATGCAAAAGACTATAATTCACATTTCACTAAAGACTATAATTCTGCACACAAAGACTATAATTCACGAATTTTCATGCAAAAGGCTATAATTCACGCATTTTCACTAAAAGACTATAATTCACTGTATTTTCACTAAAAGACTATAATTCACGCATTTTCACAAATTTTCACATTTTTTTCTCATTTTTTTCTCCTTTTTGTTATAACATTTATTTTATAGTCTTTTGGTGAAAGTACGTGAATTATAGTCTTTTGGTGAAAATGCAGTGAATTATAGTGAAAATGCATGAATTATAGTCTTTGCATGAAAACGTGAATTATAGTCTTTGTGTGAGAAAAAAATGTGAAAATGCGTGAATTATAGTCTTTTAGTGAAAATACAGTGAATTATAGTCTTTTAGTGAAAATGCGTGAATTATAGTCTTTTGCATGAAAATTCGTGAATTATAGTCTTTATGTGAGAAAAAAATGTGAAAATGCGTGAATTATAGTCTTTTAGTGAAAATACAGTGAATTATAGTCTTTTAGTGAAAATGCGTGAATTATAACCTTTTGCATGAAAATTCGTGAATTATAATCTTTTGGTGAAAGTACGTGAATTATAGTCTTTTAGTGAAAATGCGTGAATTATAGTCTTTTGCATGAAAATTCGTGAATTATAGTCTTTTGGTGAAAGTACGTGAATTATAGTCTTTTAGTGAAAATGCAGTGAATTATAGTCTTTTAGTGAAAATGCATGAATTATAGTCTTTTGCATGAAAATTCGTGAATTATAGTCTTTGTGTGAGAAAAAAATGTGAAAATTCGTGAATTATAGTCTTTTGGTGAAAGTACGTGAATTATAGTCTTTTGGTGAAAATGCAGTGAATTATAGTCTTTTAGTGAAAATGCATGAATTATAGTCTTTTGCATGAAAATTCGTGAATTATAGTCTTTGTGTGAGAAAAAAATGTGAAAATTTGTGAAAATGCATGAATAGAAAGTGAAGTTGTAGTTCAAAAGAAGTAGAAGTTCAAAAAAATAAGGTAGACAAGAAGGTAGACACAAATGTAGACAAAAACCGCACTGGCTATATTGATTACATTGACAATATTTTAAATGATGATACTCAAGACATGCCTTTGTAGAAACCATTACAATATTATCATGCATGGTGGTAAAAATATGTTATTTATCTTTGAACACACAAGTTAGAAACTTACAGCGCCATTAAATTGACTACGAACATGCGCGTTGTTGTTTTGATTTACCACATGGCAATGTCTGACATTGTGCATACTTTATTGGTCTTTCTCCTTTTTGTTATAACATTTATTTTCCAAACAATATTAGAGTTGGACAGCTAAAATGCGTTGCAAGTCCCTTTCTTCACCGTTGCAATGAAGGCGACGAAGGACAAGTTAAGGACAAGTTAAACACAGTATAAAATATGAGTCTCGAGAGAAAAGAAGGCAATGTTGTTTTGTCAGAAGCACTTGACATGTTTTAATGGTTTTGTCAATTCACCTGTCTGGCCGAGTGGTAAAGATGCTGGTGTAGTGATCTCACCTTCTCGGGTTCAAGACCATCTAAGATTGAACACCTTCTCCTTTTCTTTCGCTTCACATTGAAAAAATTTAGTAAATACGCCAAAAAACATACAGTTTTCGATGATGAGCGCTTAGCTCAACTGGCCGATGTTGGGCGCTTAGTTCGACATCAATGACCTCCGGTGCACAAGATCCTTGGTTCGCCCCTCTGCCAACACACTTGGCAGGTGTACGCGGCGGATGTGGAAGACAGAAAGTCGAACTGAGGAACGAGTGCCTGGAGGTAAGAAAGGGTTGATTAGGGCGTTCTGTTTGCTCTTGGGTTTCCTGACTTTTCAAAATTTAAAAAAATAACTCCCTGATCACAGGGAGTCATAAAAAAATTTGAGCAAAAGACTTAGTTTTTTTAAGAGTGGTTTTTTGCATGGGATCCTATCTTTTTTTTTCTTCGCTCTCCTTCTCAACGGAGAGCGAATTTTTCTGAATTTATACTAAGTGTCGCATTCCATTCTCGAAAAACTTAGTAATAGAAATCCCATTTTCGTTCTATTAACCAGCACTATTTTCCCATGTTTCGGATCATCCTACAGCCTAACAACATCTTATCCCAGACAGGGTTCGAACCTCCACTCTCAACCTCGAAAGGTTGTGTCTATCCACTAGACCAGAGAGTTCGTTGGAGACATCTGGTCATTTTAAAGTGCCACTCCTACCTTGAAGTATTTAATGCAAAAAAAATATAGGCCATTGAAGGTCTCGAATCAAAATCATAGCAGAACACCTCCAGCTAAAGATAAAGCAACAAACCAAAAATCACATTCGTAAAAATTACACGAAGAAGGAATGTTGATAGAAAGAGTGAAAGAGTAGTACAAATAAATACATTTATATATTAATGTTAGTTTGGTGATACATTAGCAAAACATCTATAGTTACTTATGTCTTCTTTTGAAAAATATAGAGAGAGACAAGTAAGTCTTTCAAAAGCAGCACGTTTTCTTTCGGCTAAGCAATGCAGATTTCTTTTAGCAGCTACTGTCGATATTAGCTTTATTAACACAATGGCACTTGTCGTAGTTAAATATGAGGATGACATATTTCTGGCTTGACGTTGCAACCGTTCTCTTGAGATTTGCGAAACAATTTTGCTCGCCCACGTCGGCTGGTGCCAACGATAACTCTGATGAAATATTCTTTTGTATCAGACCACCAACATGTCTGAATTGCAAGTGAAGAATGGTTTATGACACTTATAACATATCACCGCATATTTGACAACTACAACCATCCCTTCGGTATGACAGTATATAATCTTTATGGAAATATAATTTATATGAAATTCTGCAGTTACACACCTTTGACACGATTTTCAATCAAATTAGAACGCTGCTCCCCGTCCTGTGATCGAGCAAGAACTTGTAGATAATCATTCGTTTACTATAACGTCCATAAACACAATAATATTTAAGTAACTGCACAAAAATCAGCATGAAGAAGTCTGTCAAAAACACACATCATTTTTCTAACATAACGTACCCTATCTTTTCCTCTCCTCTCAATGAAAACAATTCTTTCTTTTTCGTTTGCTGAAACCGGTTGTATACTAAAGAAAGATATGATTAATGTCAATTGAAGAGAAATCAGTAAAACATTACGTGCTTCAGTGATAAAACGGAAAACAATGGACCTTTACACTTGACATAGTCAACCCTTTCAAAGAAAAGTATAAAAAATACAGAAGTATCCACTATCAAGATTTCCGCATGCAGCATACTTGCAGTATGTAGAGAAAACAATTATAGAGTAAACGTATATCTCATATAAAGTTAGTTAGCTTATATCGTATAAATAATTGTACTTGCTGCATGCACCTTAAGAGCATTTAAATTTACCATATTCAGTTAAAATTATAGTTAGTTTTGCTCAAATTTTTGTCTGCAGTATGTAGCTATCAGTAGATTAATATGGAGAAGCTCATCTCAAATAATAAAATTTATATAAACTCCAAGGTATAGCAAGAAAAATATACAGAAATTACGTACGTAACGGCTGGTTACCTGCAGAGCCAATGTGTCATCATGATTAAAGTTTGTTACGTATCATAGGTTGTTCAAACATTTAACAATATTTGGTATGTAACGGTCGACATCATTCGTATGCCTAAATAAAATAAATTCCTTTACAATGCCAGTTTGACCATTTGTTAACACAATTTGACCAAAATACGTATAAACATCACGAAAACCTTACACTTTTTACCTAACACACAAGGTCGAAAAGGACAATCCTGATGTTGTTTCTAACAGCTGGATCTTGTGAAGTATCCAATTCCTTCGTGAGAGCAGTTGTACAATCCTTAGCTAAAGTTTCATTTTGCAAAAAAAGTTTTCCTAAAAAAATCACAGGAAAATATATCATCAAACTTATTGACACTTTGTTTATAATCAGTCCCCGCTATACACTTGAGAATAGAATAATAAACTAAAAAATGCAGAAACGCGAATTACAACAAAAAAAAAATAACAAGGATTATCGGACACGATCTGAAAAGTTAACTATATGATATCTGATGTGCAAAGTTTCTTTAAAACTGATCATTAATTGTCCCATTTTATCGTCTTCTTGGTTTTGACGTGTGATGAAGGAAAAACTTTTTCGTTTGCAAGCGATAATGGCAAACAATATCAACTCATGCGGTTTATACGCACCTTCATTTCGTTGTGGCGTAATGATCATTGATTAAACGACCAAGTATAATCTTTTGTTGCAACTTCGAGGGCATAACTACACATAAAAACATGCAAAGTGTTCATTTGTATAAAAGTAACAAAAAACATAAAAAACATGCATGAATAAAGACGCCATAATCAAAAGCTTGAAAAAGATCAATTATTAAAGATTGTACCTTAACTCTTGGCCCGACTCGCCTGCTATCAACTCCAAGAATTTCCAACTTGATTGTTGTTCAGCCTGTCGCTTCCATTGAAATATTCTTCAAAATTATTCCTTCCAAATTGCTCAAACATTTCTCTTACGCTGTAGTCAGGCGATCCGTCACCAAAGGCAAAATGGCGTCAACCAAATCCTACAATATGACAAAAAATATAACAGACATCGCAACATGAAAATATTGATCATATAGTCTTGAGTCTAATTCTCAGGTAATGTATGGCTGGTTCAAAGAAAAGAATACTAAACATCCTAATTGTCATTAGTTTTACTGTTAATTAAATGTCATGTAGTTATTCTAAGTTTGCTAAACAGCTATGACAATAAAAATTGTAAAATGGTCAATTGTTACTAAAATGCCACAAAAATTGAAAATAATTGAAAACCACAAACTAATTATTGATAAGTTATTCACACGAAGACTTCGTGAATCATGGATCAAAGTTAAAATAGCTACATCATAGATTTTGACAAAACCTGACAAGACAACAAAGCCAGACAAAACAACTAAATACTCTTTCAATTGAAATAATTTTACCTTTTTACAAAGCTCATCACTGTTCATTCATACAATGGACTCTAAAAAAAGATAATTAACAACAATAATTAAATTCATATTAAATCAACTTTCCACAACCTTAAACACACCTGTTTACCGGCTTTTCTTAAAAGAACTTTTTCATCCAAAACTCGTCATCTTATTATTGCAGAAACGTTCATTTGATGAGAAACTGTTTAGATAAACGAAACAAAATATGAAATCATCATGCATGGAAAAGGAAATCAATGCTCATATGTCCGACATAAAATAAGATAAAGGAAAAAAATCTAGCAAATGTTATTCTTGACCTATCCATAAAATCAAAACTTTTATATGATGGATAATGGGAATAATTGAATGTTAAACATCCATATGAACAACATGCATGACGATGGATAAATATGAGGTATAAAGAGGTAAATCAAATGTTAAACATCCATATGAGCAACACAAATGACGATGGATAAATATGAGATATAAAGAGGTACATCAAATGTTAAACATTAATATGAACAACACACATGACAATGGATAAATATAAGATATTAAAGAGGTACATCTAATGTTAAACATACATGTATAAGCAACACAAATGACAATGGACGTTTTATGTGATGAAGGATATAAAACACAAAACATCCTATAACATTTTCAGGTGTATCAATAAGTTAAATCTTCAAGACTATTCTTGGAAACTTCTGGAAATTCAATGGAAACCATTGGAGGAAAATACAGAACAATCAACACTTACTGATTGTTGGACTAAAATCTGTTGGTGAACAATTATTCATATTGCCATTAGTGATGGGTGTCATCAGAAATTTTTTCACCATGGCCATAAGTACACCATTAAACAAGTAAATATATTAAGCTGGATGAGAGAGAGCTTTGGCCAAAACCCTAAAAGAAAAATGAAGGATGTTGAAGAAGACTTTAAAGGAAAACAAATGAAAAAAATAATAACTTGATATGATTTCGTGAGAGCACAATGGTTATAAGACATTTAAAACAGATGACAAATTTCTTTATAGCAAACATGTTTTGGCATACTTTATGCCATCTTCATTGCAAAGTGAATAAATATAAATAAATATCATGTAAACTTCATATATTTATTCACTTCACACCGAAGATGGCTTGAAGTGAACTAAAATACAAATAACAAGAAGCTTGTTCTTCACTCACATCTGAAATAAAAGTTTATCTGCTATCACTTTCTCTGATGTTATAATTATAACCTATCTTCAAAAAAATTAATAACGTAAAAGCAATGTTGTACCTGATGATAGAGTGAGAATAGCAATTCACTTGTGTTGTTTAAAACAAATTTGAAAGCTCTTCATTATTTAAAAGTTATGTTCACTAGAAGCACATAGCTATAATACTAAAATATTTTTTGGTTTCTTGGTTTTTATAATTTTTGAAGACTTACAAATGGCAAACAAACAATGTTCAAACACACAATTTGCTCAATTTTAGAAATTTCATTAAACTCATCAACAAAGTTGAAACTTCATAAAATGTTAACAACACAAGTATGTACCTTACCACAGTTGGGCAAGTATTGATATACATCCATTGCTTTTTGGAAAAGCAAGGGATGAAATATTTTATACACACCACTTCCTATGAAGAAATATAACATCATGAAACTGGATCTATTCCAAAACCACAAAAGTGTATCAAACATTACCCACCAAAATTTGGAGAAGTAACACATAAACATTTGAAGCTCAAATGGTCAACTTCATCTTATATTCAACTGAGGAATTATAGACAACAAGAACATTCATACAGTCAAAGCATAATGTTTTTATATATCATGGTGAAATGCTTTAACAAAAAATGATAATCCAGAATCTGTTGAAAAAGGGTGTCTGTGGCAAATTTAAGATGTAAAATGAATTTTTCCACATTGGAAGAACATTTGGCACAACAATTCATTAAAATAAACATGAATATCTAAAAATAAATTATTGAAATAAATGGTGCAATAATTTGAGACACGTACTTTACCTGAAGAATGCATTTAGCCATACAATAATGCAGCAATGCATGATGTGATAGTCCGTTTTCATCAAATACAGCCCAAACACCTAGCCAAACATATTCAGACGGAATTATTATAAAATGCGAAACAAAGTTAAGTTGAAAATGAACAATTCATTTATTAACTGTCGGTGTCACATTTTCACCACGTTTCTACCATTCTACCACATGGTTACCGCAGCGCGGATTCTGGAGCCTGAGAACGAAATGTGGAACGTAATGGTTATTTCATTTCATTCATTTGCATATGCCACAAAGGAAGCAGAAGCAGAAGAAAAGAAACTGTGGCCATATATAAATCTATGTTTTATCAAACAAACCAAAAATCGTTAAATTGAACACAAACAGAAATTCTAAAAGTCTCGATCTACTCGTGTTTCCTCAAATGGATCGGGAATCCAACCCAATAACCATACAATCCTTACTGCAGGTCCCAGGCATGGCCACCCTTTTTTGTTATTCTTTAGAGAGATTCTCTAAAGATGAGGGAAACCGGCGTATCGCCGGAGGAAAACCCTCAGAGATCCAACAAGCTACAAAAGCCAGTCGGTGGATGCACATTACTTGGGATCACCTTATCTATTTTTAATAGTTATCTTTACAAAAAGATTGTCTATATTTTTAATGGCCTTAATTATGTTTACGAAATTTCTTACACTGCCTTTATCTTTACAAGGTTGTTGACAGAGGTGTCCTATTGGCAATATGCACCCTTCATCTTTGGAAAAAACGAAACCGCCTCCTTTTTTACGTCATTTGTAGGACACACGCCATTTTTTGACCGCTTTTAGCTGCGCTATTTTTTCCTCATGTTTACAAAATTTATTATACTGCCTCCATCTTTACAAGGCTGTTGACAGAGGTGTCCTATTGGCAATATGCACCCTTCATCTTTGAAAAAAATGAAACCGCCTCCTTTTTTACGTCATTTGTAGGACGCACGCCATTTTTTGACCGCTTTTAATTGCGCTATTTTTTTTCTCATGTTTACAAAATTTTATTATATTGCCTCCATCTTTACAATGTTGTTGACAGAGGTGTCCTATTGGCAAAATGCCCCCTTCATACTTGGAAAAAACCGAAACCGGCTCCTTTTTTACGTCATTTGTAGGACGTACGCCATTTTTAGACCGCTTTTAGCTGCGCTATTTTTCCTTAGCGCATTCCTAGCTAACCCTGTTGATCAGTGGCATGATGAAATAACCGACTTGAATTTGAGCATCTACCTACGAACTATGTTGCACAAGAATAAGTAAACCATACCTTTGAACGATGAGACACCTGTAAAGCAACGTTAGTACCCGAGCCGAAAGAAAACTTAACGGATAGGGACCTGGGCCCTTATACTTTACCAAACGGGGTGCCAACCAATCCTTCTTGTGTCCAACACATGACCACCTAGGTACCATCATGGCACCGTTTACGATTATTCCTACCTGGAACTACACTAAATTCATCGGATTAATTTGTCTCTCAAATCATCTTCCATGCATAATAGAGATGAAGATGTTCGATTTGATTTCGAGACGAGCTAACCCAATACATCATGAATAATTAAGCTATATTCCTTCTCTGAATTATTTTCTTCAAGTTAAATAACAGTGAGTTAATTAACTTGGACATGCCACTGTCATAACATTGATTTTGACAGCTATTTAGCAAAAACAATGCCGGGTTTCATGCACCTATTATTCTGTTTCGTTTTTTATTAGACCAACTTTGCATATTCGTCTTGATGATGCAAATCAATCAATTTTTTTCTAAAAATATTTTTAAGCACTTTGACTTGTTTTTATTCATTTTCATTTTAGCGTCTGGGGAACATTTCAAATTTTGCATGGTTCAAAATTCAAACAATTCGAACTAAACGTAAAAATTATTTATAAAGCATCATCAAGCAAGAATATTTCAAGCGTTTATAACTTACGATTAATTTAATTTTGCACTATGCAGCTTGCATGCCGGATTGCGCTATGTTTCTGTCCGAAATTTTCTTTACTATTTTAACGTGCAATCTGTGATTCGGATTTCGCCATTTTTTGGACCGTAATTTTCTAGTTTAATAACTAAATATGCATATGATTCAGTTTTAAGAAGTATAATATACGAGATAATACACGTACACGACCAAAACTCAAAGAAACCCATGCTTATTTCCTTGAACTTGGGATCGTGTATCCTGGTGATCAAAAGAACGAAAAACCTATAAAAACCGACATCAGACATATATATTTTACCTTGTACAATGATAACCTTACATTATACGACAGTTTGATTTGATAAAAGTTTTCGACAATATAAGATGTATCATCGTTTTCAGGCAATGTTTCAACCGCAAAAAAGCACTGCATCACATGCACAAAACTAACAAGAATCAAAAGAACAACTAACTTTGTTATACACTCAGCCAAAGATCAATCATCTTCCTGTTAGTGTAGATCACCAGGATGTTAACTAAAACACTATAAATCTGTCACCTTAAACGTCGTCTTTGGTCTTCATTCGTAGATTAACGTAATCCCCAAATGATAAATCCATATTAATTCCATAAAATCCACGACAACCATAATGTAATCCACGACAACCACGAATTAATCTACGATGACCAGAATATGATCAACAAGGACTATGATTGTGATCAACGACTAACATGATGTGTGCTCTTTCTTACTATAAAACAAATGAAAGAATCAAGTTCGCACAAACGTTTTCAAACTTACGAAAAATACTGTTATCATTGATAAAAACTTGGAAACGAAACCGTTATACAAATTAATCAAAGAGCCTCTTATCAAACTTAATTAGTGCTGTCCATCGTTATTGTGAAAACTTGTAACGGTCTATGCAATTTTATAACATTAAAGAGTCCTCCAAACTATTTTAACGATATTTTTGGATAAAAAATATTTTGGAAAAAATTTTGCTTAATTGCAATTATTTGAAAATTTCGCTTTTAGCGTGGAAAATCCCTATTTACGGCGTAGTTGTGTGTCCATAATGAAAGCCAAAGCAACTGCAACGATTGGTCGATAAGAATAAATACTCGTGAATCACCTGTAGATTCGTCACCATAAGCAACCAACTGCTTCTTCGAACCTTCAGCAGTTTTGAAGGTGCTTGGTTTAGTTTACGAAGTGGAAATTTCTGAAATTTAAAATGTTGAAACATTATTACCATTTTTCATTGGAACAAAAGTTCTGTTGAGAAATTGAAAAAATTACACACCTGCGTTGAAGTTTCCGCGCAATATTTGAATGTATTGTGATTGAATATCTTTAGCGCTCCCATGTCATGCGGCTTTACAGATGTCCTTATTCGTAATTGGACATACCACCATAATTTATGAAAGCGTGTGTTGTCAAATTGTTTTACAGCAAAATAAATGTTTAAAGTTGATCACCAGGACATTACGCCCTTGCTTTTGAAACGTCCTTTTCAGTCGTCATTCGTAGATTAACCATGTAATCCACGACAATCACGATTTAATCCACCATAGCCACGATGTAAGCCACGACAACCACGATGTAATCCGCCAAAGCCAGGATGTAAGCCACGACAACCACGTTGTAATCCAGGATAACCACGATGTAATCCACAACAACCATGATGTAACTCGCAAAACCATGATGTAATTAATCGAAATAAAATGCCACCATTAAAACATTCCTTTACTAGAAAACAAAGAAAGGCTCAAAGTAGCATGAAGGTCATTCAAAATGACAAAAATAACGTCATTTTAGTACTAAAGCGTCTAAGCAAACTTCGTTTAGGCATTAGCATTGTTCACAGGTTTTCTGCACACTTCTTTGAAATTTAAAATCTGTATTTTGAAATTCAAAATCAAAAACATGATCAAGAAACAACATTTTAAACAATTTTGTGCTAGCACTATGTTTCCTCTATTTAGCACTCAAATAGAGGTTTATTTTATTTTCAACTAATCAAGTGGGCTAACAAGATGCCATGGCTAGATAAATTTCAGTTCATATTCGGAAGAAAGTTTGAATAAAAGCTTAAACATATGATGAATAATTTTGTTTGAAGTTCTGACACAAAGCAAGTAACTAGTTTGACTTTTATATATGTAAAATAAATTGTTTGTTTGTATCAACAAAGAAAGCCTAATTTGCATGTGTAGTTTGTTATGAATTCATCAAGAGATCGACCACCCGGTGATTTTTAATTTACTGATAGTGGGGAATATAGCGAAACAATAAACCCTCACCCTCTATTTATTTAGAGCTGGGGATAAATAGGGGGTGAATGAGAGTTGAAGGTAAATGACGGTGGGAGATGAATGAGGGTGGGGATGAATAAGTGTTTGGGAAAATGAGGGTTAGAAGTAGATAAAGGAAGGGGGTAGATGAGGGTAAGAGGTAAATGAGGGTAGGGGGTAAATGAGGGTTGAAGGGGAAATAAACGACATGTACCGTAATGATCATCTATAAAAGATATTTGCAAGAAAACTTCAATACCTGTAGATTCGTAGTCATAGGCAACCAACTGCCTCTCCTAAACGTTCAGCAGTGATGAAAGGGGTTTAGTTTTTGAAGGAAAATTTCTGAAATCAAAAATTATTAAAACATTATTAGCTACATTCATCCACCTAAAACGATCATTTATTTCCTACTGATTATTACATTTCTTCGTATCAATAATCACTTACAAAAATAAATGTGATGTGCGTGGTCAAGTGAATGGATGATTTGTGGCCATAGTGAATTTGAAGCTCATCGCTGGCTGCTTAGTTAAAACTTTCACACAATATCATCGCCATGATCATCTTTAGTATTTCCATCATGTAGCATAACAAATAACAGTTGAACAAAGCACCATAATTCGTGATATCATAAGCATGCTTTTTCTGAAACGCAAAGAGCACTCTATCAAGTTAAGTTTAATGCATTCGTGCATCGTAAATTTTCATCTTACCTGACATCCATCCTTCATTTTTCGCCCACTGCAGCATCTCTACAGATATACTTGTGCACACTTAGTCGAAAATCACGTGCCAGTCGAAAACAATGACAAAGACAACTTTTCAAAGCTAGGTTATTCATGCATGTTAGTCGAAACTACGTTGGCCAATAGCTTGTTGAGTTAAGATAAGTTATAAAAGACAAAAAAGTCACGTCATTTCCTTTACAAAATGCAACTCACAAACAGAATTCAACATGT